TATATATATATATATATATATACAGAAAAAAAGTAAGTCATAGGTTCTGGAATAACATAAGAGCAAACAAATGATGACAGAATTTACAACAGCTGCTCACGAGAAAGGCAAATCCTATTTAAGCTACTTATAAATCCTCAAATCCTCCAACAACAGGTAATAACAGCAAAAGCGTGATGGAGACCTCAATAAATTTCAAGTATGATTTTTCAACAAGTGCTGTGTGCCTCAGACATTTAATCAGTACTTATGAGAAACGATATTCATAATTAAAGCACTGGCTAACAGGATCATGACCTCTGGATTCGACTTCATGTCTTCTCATCTTAATATCACACCTGACGCCTCGGCGCCTCACCCTCCCTTCCTGCATAAACACCAATCTCTCCATCCTCCTCTTCTGATTTTTCGGCATTTAGTGCGTCTCATTTCAAGGTGACACCAACTGTGCTCCGCTCACGCCACAAAATCCATCTCTGAACTCAGTGTACCACTTTTAAACAAGACAGAAAATCTTTCCAGCCTCTCTCGAGGCTGTTGCAAATATGAAGAGATAGCGATACCATGTGAACTCAATGGGACCTTAATGCTCAGAAGAAAATGGATTTCTCAATCCAAATGAATTAGAATTACATTTAGAGGTAACATTGAATGAAGAGCTCTACCTCAAACACACTGCATGCACCTTCACAGACAGTACTAGGTTAATGTGCATGTCTAAATCAGTTAGAGGCATGTTGTAAGAGCATGTTGACATTTTGGTAGTGAAAGGAGGGTCATTTTATATGGCATGCTACAAAGGGCATTCTCACTTTCTCATGCTATCACCGCTAATAGAGGTTAATTCAGTATAAAGGTGTGTCTGGGAGATGAATGCAGCAGATTTCGGCTAACAGCAGCTAATAGAGCAGTATGTGTGTGTGCATGTTTGTGTGTGTGTGTGTGTGTGTGTGTGTGTGAATACGTGGCCAGAACACTCACCTTCATGGTGGGTGGTGCAGTGCGGGGAGGTGAGGGTGGACATTCTCCCAGAGGCACACTGGAGATGGTCAGCAGCTCTTGTTTCCTGCAAAACACACACAGTTAGCCAGGCCAATGGTCAGCACACTATGTAGAAGACTAATCAGATATTGTGAAGTTTTGCACTAAAACAGAAGACTGGAACCTCAAACGCAGAAGCAAACAGACATTTTACAGTATTTGTATCATTTATCTATCAGGAGACTTTACATTGACTATTGTTTTTGTACTTAGCTAATGATATTCATTTTGCATATTTGGGTAAACGAGTGTCACCACAAAAAAAAAAAAAGGATTTTTTAAAGGAAACATATAGTTTAAAGGAAAAATATAGTTTAGAAGGGATGTCCCGGGTTCTTAGAAATGCACTCTTTGTATTTATGTAGGTTTAATATGGTTTTGAAAAACGTTTATACCATTTTCAGCATTTTTGGTTGCACCAAATGACTTTAATTTTGCAGACAAAAGTTTTATTTTAAATATTAATGCAGTGTTAAAATATTTTCCATAAATAAATAAATACAAATTGTAGTCCATTACTGATTCCAAATTACATTATATTACACATTTCAGGTAATATAATATAATTTAAATTTTTATATTTACATATATACAAATTGTATATTGTTTTTTTCAGGGGGTGTGAAGTTAGAAATGTCAAGGTAATACCATTATCAAGAACAAAAAAAAATCCTAACCAAACACAACAACAACAACAATCAAAATAAATCAATAAAAATGAATGTTATTTGTAGTATTATTTATGGATTTTCAAATAAATTTATGAACATATTATGAAGAAAAAAATTAGTGTCACATGACCCATTTATATTTTCCTTAATCATTTAATGTGTTTACTAAGCAAGCTCAAAATGTAAACTATTTCAGAAATTTGGTTTCCTCAAAATAACACAGTTAGCCGGGTAGATCAACACACTTTTTAGCTGAAGACCAAGATATGGTAGTTTTGCACTAAAACAAAATACTAGCCCCTCAGACGTAGATGTATACAAACACACACACACACACACAAACACACTGAGGGCAGAGTGTCAGTGCAGTACCCTTTGAGAAGATATACTAAAAAGAGCCTGGTCTCCAGAGACTAAGGTGAAAGACTACAGGATAGAAAAACTCAATAACAACAATTCTTCTGTTTGCTTCGGTATCTGCACAGAGACATAACAAGAACAACTCAGTGCAGCCAGCCCTGCAGACAGACTGCTGTAGGTCAAAAAAGGTGGAGAGATGAGAGGGGTAAAAGAGGGGGTACGAGGCATACAGAAAGGTGTAAGGCTCCAAGCAGGAACATGATCACATTTTAAAAGCAGTTCTTTCAGCCAAAGACAAATGAGAAAGGGGCTACTTGGAATCAGAGGTTAAAATTAGTCAGGCAGACAAACTCTGGTCTAGAAATGAAGCTCCTTGCAGAGGGTCTATTAAAATCTTTCCTTACATTACACCTACAGGGGTCATTAAACTCCAAAAAGATTGAACACATGAAGATCTCTAGCTGGAAAATGGCACAAAAATACATATGTGAGGATGTGAAGGTTTCAATGAAAGATAAAGGAGAGTTATTTCAATCTGAGAGAATGGAACCAATGACATGTTTACTGACAATATTTATACATAATATTTATTATTTATTTTATATTATATCAATGATCCCACAATAAACATGCCGTTTGTTGTAGGGGCCAACCGATTATTGGCCTGGCCAATTATCGGCACCAAAACTAAGCATTTTTATGGTTATCAGTATCGGTCATTTTCAAAACCGATTTACCGATAAAATAATTTTAAAGCATTTAAAGAAAGTTTTTGTCAGAGCCCTTGCTATTCTTAATTTTTACATTCATTTTCATTTTTACACCAGACATATATATCGGTTAAAAATTTTGGTTATCTGTCTACTTGATCTGAAACAATCGGTATCGGCATCTTCAAGTAGGCAGCAGGTGCAACGCATATTCAGCTTTTCGCTTCGAAGCCGAGCAGTTCTGTTGTTCTGCTCTGCCTATCAACAAGAGAGAGTGATTCTGTACGAGTCTGCGAGCTCGGGGAAAGAGGCTTCTTCGTCTCGTGTTGGTGTGACAGCACTGCAGCGGTGGTTCCCCTGTGCGCTTCAGCACTGTGAAAGAGCAAATTTCCCTAAAAGAGCAAACACGAGTGTGACGTTGTGTCTTTGTAAAAATGGCATTCCACCCGTGTGTTTCTGGATGCTGTCGTTACCTGGCGCCGGATGACAATCAGGGGTTACGAGGCAATCCCCCCGGTGGAGCGCGCGGTTGCGATGCAATTGTGTCCGAGGAGCGCTGCCACCTGGAGGGGTAACCCTTGTCTCCCATCCAAGGCCTGTAAGTTCTCATCTGTGCTTACGGCCAAGGCTTACAGTGCCGCTGGACCTCCGACCTGCACACCATGGCACTCCTGCAGGTATACCAGACCAAGGCATTAAAGGAGTTGCACGAGGGTAGTTCTGACCCAGAACTGATGCAGGTGCTGTGCACAGCAACGGACCTCGCCACTCCCTGGGTCAGACAATGGCCACGTTGGTGGTCCAGGAATGCCATCTCTGGCTGAACCTGGCGGATATGCGGGAGACTAACAAATATAATTTTCTCGACTCCCCTATCTCCCAGGCCAGCTTTTTCAGCGATGCAGTCGAGAGCTTTGCCCAATAGTTATTGGCTGCCCAGAAGCAGACGGAGGCAATTAAACATATCCTGCCCTGGCAGCCCGCTGCTGCCTTCACCTCGCCGCCGGCTGCAGCTGCTCCGCCTGCTCGTCGCTGAGGGCACCCCCCGCGGCTTCCTCCACCCCTTCTCAGCCTCAGCAGCAGCGTCCACCGAGGCCACAGCAGGAAGCTGGCCGCAGGGCTGTGACGCAGCCTGTCCAGGCCCCCGCCAAACTAGGCAGCAAGCGGAAGTGCAAGCGTCCCTGAAACGGGCAACCCAGAGGTGGAAGGGAGCGGTACCCAAACCATCAAAAAAGAGCAGTTTCCACCATCTCTGGGTCCCAAGAGGGCGCGGATGACATTGCGTCACGCTATGCCTGACCAGTCTCATCCCCATCTTCTATCACCTGGTCCTGGTTGTACGATTTCTTGGAGCCTGGCTAGCGCTCCCCAGTCCATCTCACTGGCTCATTTGGACCATCAGACTTGGCTATGCGATTCAGTTCGCCTGGCATCCCCCCAAGTTCAGGGGCATCCAGTTCACTTCAGTGCTGACCAGCGATGCTCCTGTCTTACGGGCAGAAATCGCAGTCCTGCTGGCGAAGGACGCAATAGAGCCGGTCCCTCCAGCCGATATGAGGTCGGGGTTTTACAGCCCATACTTCATTGTACCCAAGAAAGGAGGTGGGTTATGACCAATCTTGGACCTGCGAGTTTTGAACCGGGCCTTTCACAAGCTGCCGTTCAAAATGTTAACGCAGAAACGCATTTTTGAATGCATCCGTCCCCAAGATTGGTTTGCAGCGATCAACCTGAAGGACGCAAACTTTCACGTCTCGATTCTCCCTCGGCACAGGCTGTTTCTTCGCTTCGCGTTCGAGGGGCGGGCATATCAGTACAAAGTACTGCCTTTCGGGTTGTCCCTGTCACCCCGCGTCTTTATGAAGGTGGCGGACGCTGCCCTTGTTCCCATGAGAGAACAGGGCTTTCGCATTCTCAAACATATCGACGACTGGCTAATTTTGGCTCAGTCATGGGAGCAGTTGTGCGAACACAGGGACATGGTGCTCAGTCACCTCAGCCAGTTGGGACTTCAAGTCAACTGGGAAAAGAGCAAACTCTCTCCAGTGCAGAGGATCTCTTTTCTTGGTATGGAGTTGGACTCGGTCAACCAGACGGCACGCCTCACAGAGGAACGTGTTCGGTCAATGCTGAACTGCTTGAAAGGGCAGGACAGCGGCCCTACTGAAACTGTTTCAGAGGCTCCTGGGACATATGGCATCTGCAGCCGCAGTAACGCCGCTTGGATTGCTTTATATGAGGCCTCTTCAGCATTGGCTTCACGGCAGAGTCCTGAGATGGGCGTGGCAACGCGGCACGCACCGAGTGATGATCACTCTGGCCTGTCGCCAAGCTTTCAGCCCATGGTCGGACCCTGCATTTCTTCGGGCAGGAGTTCCCCTAGTACAGCTGTCCAGGTATGCTGTTGTGTTCACGGATGCCTCCACTACGGGCTGGGGTGCCACGTACAATGGGCATGCAGAGTCGGGGTTGTGGACGGGCCCCCATCTGCATTGGCATATCAATTGCCTCGAGTTGCTTACAGTACATCTTGCGCTGGGCTGCTTCAAAATGCTGCTACGAGGCAAGCACGTTCTGGTACAGACAACACTGCGACCGTTGCGTACATCAACAGCCAAGGTGGTCTACGCTCCCGTCGTATGTCGCAACTCACCCGCCATCTCCTCTTATGGAGTCAGAAGCATCTGAGGTCGCTTTGTGCCATTTGCATCCCAGGCCTGCTCAATCGTGCAGCCGACAAGCTTTCACGACAGCCTGCGCTTCCGGGAGAATGGAGACTCCATCCTCGGATGGTCCAACTGAAATGGAGACACTTCGGAGCCGCAGAGGTAGACCTGTTTGCCTCTCCAGACACGTCCCATTGCCAGCTGTTCTATTCCCTGACCGGGGGAACCTTGGCACGGATGCACTGGTGCACAGCTGGCTCCAAGGCCTATGCAAATATGCATTTCCCCCAGTGAGCCTACTTGCACAGACGTTGTGCAAAGTCAGGGAGGACGAGGAGCAGGTCCTGCTAGTTGCGCCTTACTGGCCCAATCGAACCTGGTTCCCAGAACTGATGCTCCTCACGACAGCCCCTCCCTGGTGCATTCCTCTGAGGAAATATCTACTTGTATCAGAGACGGGGCACCCTCTGGCACCTGCGTCCAGATCTGTGGAAGCTCCACGTGTGGTACCTAGACGGTACGCGGAGGTCCTAGGTGATTTACCCCAGGTGGTAGTAGACACCATCACTTCGGCAAGAGCACCCTCTACGAGGTGTGCCTATACTTTGAAGTGGAACC